AAAGACAATGGATAATCCCCCAGCCACGTTTTGCATTTTTTTCACATGCCCAGATGACGGGGCAATGCTCCATGTGTGGTTAAACAAATGCTGGGCAGCAGAAATAGTGGCCACTATGTCACATTCCAATAATAATCAAAGGTGACTTTATAGAGGTTTATAGAATCATGAGGGCTATCGATAGGGTTAATGGTAGGTGTCTTTTCCCCAGGGTGGGGAATTTAAAGACTAGGGGGCATATGTTTTAAGGTGAGAGTTGAGAGATTTTAAAAACACGAGGGGCAATTTTTTTTTTACACAGAGGGTGGTTCGAGTGTAGAATGAACTTCCTGAGGAAGTAGTGGATGAGGGCACAGTTACATTTAAAAGATACTTGGGTAAGTACATAAATAGCAAAGGTTTGGAGGGCTAGGAGTAGGCAGGTGGGACTAGTTTAGTTTGGGAACAAAAACAGAAGTTGGTGGAGAAACTCGGCAGGTCTGGCAGCATCTGTGGAGAGAAATCATAATTAACATTTCGGGTTGAGAGACCTTTCCTCAGAACCCGTCAGAGTTATGAGGAAGGGTCATTCAACCCAAAACGTTAACTTGGATTTCTGTTTTCATTTATGATTTACAGCATCCGCAGTTGTTTCGGTTTTTAGTTTTGTTTGGGATTAAATTCGGCATGGACTGGTTAGACCGAAGGGTCTGTTTCCGTGCTTTATGACTTCGTGCCTCTACGTCTGTTGTTATGAAACCAGCAAGTCAGAAAATGAGCAGCAAAAATTCAGAATGATGCACATCTCACCCATAGAATCAAGAAGCTATCTATCCTGCTTTAAGTATAGACAAGCACTCTGCCTCCACAAAATCTCCAGGTCTCCATCCACATCTTGTGATGTTAGAAATTAGAATTCTTTTCTTAAAAGAAAGATGCATCGCAAACTAGAAATACATAGATCTGTTACGGTAGCACGTGGTCAGATAACTTTCTTCCTTTATTCTTTTGTGGGATGTGGGTGTCACTAACAAGGCCAGCACTTGTTCAGAGGACAGTAAAGAGTCAACCCCATTGCTGTGGGTCATGAGTCATGGGTTATTGCAAAAATCTTGGTGAGTTGCTGCACAGCATGTGGTAGATGGCACATACTGCTGCACTGTGTGCTGGTGCTGGGGGAATTAAATATTAAGATGACCGATGGCTAGTCAAATGTACTGTTTTATCCTGAATGACGTTAAACTTCTCAGTTGTTGTTGGAGATACATTCAGCCAGACAAATGGAGAATATCGCATCACACTCCTAACTTGCCATTCGTAGATGGTGTAGAGGCTTTGGAGAGTCAGGAGATGAGTCACTCACAATAGAGCTCCCAGCCTCTGACCTGTTGTTATAGACACATGATTTAAATAGATGGCCTGTACAGTAATATGGGGTGGGCCATTGAGGACTGCGATCATGAACAATGTGGAGGCCAAGTCATGAATATATTCAGCAAAGAGAGAGAGATATTTTTAGATTCAAAAGACATTAAGAGGTATAGAGAGAAAGCGGAAATATGGTATTGAGATAGAGGATCAGCCATGATCATATTGAATGGCAGAGCAGACTCAAAGGGCTGAATGGCCTACTCCTGTTCATAGTTTCTATGTTTCTATGTAATGCTATTGAACATAAAGAAGGGATGGATTCTTGCTTGTTGGAGATGGATGTTTCATGGTATTTAACATCCTTGCCATTTTAAGGTTCAGGAGTCACATATTTCCCAAAATAAGTAGATGAGAATTTAAGTAGTTTTAAGGAAGTTTATAAGATTGTTGCGAAGCAACAATTTAAGTATGATGTATAAGTTAAATAAACAAGAAGGTGTATAATCCATGATAGGCAAGAACAGCATACTGAACCTAGAGGTGAAACAGAATGTGTTGACATCTGCAGCTTGTGCTGGCAACTTACTGCTCTCAAGCTGAAGTGTTAGGAAACTTTCACCTCTCCTTCCTTCATCTGAAGAAGGCAGCTTCTTGTTGAGAACTGCCTCCTACCTCCAAGCATCCATTAATAAAATTGATTTCCAGTTGTTTGCCTTACGTCAACCATTTGTTTGAATCCTAGACATTTAATGTCTAGAAGGATTTAGTGGTGGGGGCGCGGTGGAAGCAGGTACATTGCTCCCTTGTCTATCACTTTACCACAATGTTATTTTTTAGCTTACCTTGTGCTGGGAGCTATTTGCTCACCTTTATTAGACACTAACATAGACAAGAGGGTACAAACCACTGTGCTGTCTTAGGAATCGCATCATCTGGATCTGGTGACCTTGATATTTCTAGGGACTGTTTGTGGTTTCCAGAGAGGTAAAAGATGGTCTCACACAATGTCTGTTAACTCAATAATAATTCAATAATAGATTGAAAAGTACAGTTTTGTACATCCTGTGCTGGAATGTCATACCAGTCCAGCTGCATGAAGGCTGATTCATTATCTGAGGCATTGGTTGCAATTTGAACTGAACCCTGCACTTCTGACCCTGTGATGAAGCAGCTCATGCTTATGCTACTCTGATGGCCTTCTGCACTGATGCCCTGGGCCTGAGATGATTGAACTTCAACAACCACAATCCTTTCCCATTTAGGAACAGAAAGTGGGAGGAGGGGCAGGGCTCATAACAACATCATCATTCCAACCTTTTGTTGCTAATTGTTGAAATTCTAATTTTCAACATTCACTTAGGAACATAAGCCAACTTTTCTGTTCTTTTTGGTAATAATGAATTGGAAATTTTAGAGTTTTATGTGTTTTAGTACCTTATTTACCATCATAGCGTAAGGGAAAGACTGAGTCATAAGATTAACATTAACAAGGTGTGAAAGGGAAATCATGTTTATCCAATTTATTGGAGTCCTTTTAAGTAGTAACATGCCTGTAGATGTATTGTACTTAGATTTCCTGAATTTAACAAGGTGCTACATAAAGGAGTATTGTACAAAGAAGGAGCTCATTATGTAGGCAATAACATATTGGCTTGCAAAGGAGATTGGATAGCTGGCTGGCAGAAAACAGAGTAAGCATAAATGGATTGTTCTTAATTGATCAGTGTAATTCTGTCAGAGTATGGGCTTGTGCCTCAACTTTTCAAAATTTATATCAATGACTTAGATGAGGGTAGAGAAGGTCTGCTAGGTAAATTTGCAGGTGACACAAAGATAGATAGGAAAGTATGAGGTTACAAACCAATGGATAGGTTGAGTAAGTAGGTTGAGTAAGTGAGCAAAATGTTGGCAGATAGAGGATAATATGGGAACGTACAAGGTTGTTCACTTTGGCAGGAAAAATGGGAGAGCAGCATTTCTTGAATGGGGAAAAACTGCGGAATTCCGAGGTGCAGAGAGATCTAGGTGTTCCAGTGCATAGATCACAAACATTAGTATGCCAAGTTCAGCAAGTAATTAAGAAAGCTAATGCAATGCTATGCTTTATTAAAGGAGGAATTGAACATAAAAGTAAGGATGTTCTGCACCTGTTATACAGGGCATTGGTGAGACCACATCTGAAATTCTGTGTGTAGTTTTGATCTTATTTAGGGAAAGATATAATTATGTTGGCAGCAGTTCAGAGGTGGTTTACTGGATTGATATCTGGAATGAGTGAGTTTTGTTAAGAGGAAAGAGTGTGTTTGTTTCTCCTGAAGTTTAGAAGAATGCCAGGTGACTTGTCTCAAGTATCCAGAATGGTCTGGACAAGGCGAGCATAGAAGGATCTGTCCTCTTGTAGGTGAGACCAGAACTAAGGGGCTCTGTTTCAAAATTAGGGATCAAACTTACAGATACAAATATGAACACTTTTCCTTAAGAGGGCTGTTTGATTTTGGAACACTCTGCCTCAGAAGGTGATTGGGTTGGGGGATCATTAAATATTTTAAAGCAAAGGTAGATAGATTCTTGTTAGGCTAAGGCTTCAAAGATGGGAATGTGGAAATGGAATTGTTCTATCTTTTTTCTTTTAAGCCTCTGATTCTTCTTGACTTAATTGAGGTATGAAATCTGAAAGGGGTGAGTATTTTGTACTGAAAAGTACTCCTCTGTCTGAAAATGTAGCTCTTAAGGAATGAAGTGCTTATTGAAATACCGTGGAGTTTGCTGCCTCCTGAACTCCTGCCATTTTGAGTCTTCTTCCTTAGTGACGTAAATTGAAAAATATCGTATGCATAGAGAGCGGTTATTGGACTTGAGTTTGGAATAAATTGTGTGCAGAAGCTATTTCAACCAAGAATACATACCTGCTAGTTACAGGATGTTGTTGCTTGTATTCAAGAGTCAACCACTGGTTCAACACGATTTTCCTCGAAATTGAGGAATTAGATGAGTATGGTGAAACATTCTGACTTTCTGGCTTGGGCCTCTGTGTGTTCACTTTAAAATCTTTGCTTTCACACTGCTCAATGAAAAATGGTTAATGAGGAGAGACAAAAATACATTTGTTTGGTAGGACAGATCATGAATATTGCTGAGAAGAATTATGTCGTTGAAGCTTTTCTTCTTAAACTTATTGAGGCAAACACAAGAATGCCAAATTTCAAGTGATCACAACACTTTGTACCACATTAGAAAAAGGTATTGGTTGATTTGCAAGTTGACTGTGATTGCCCAAAACATTGTCGTGGAGAATATAAGGAGGAAATCTAGCAGCTTGTTCTGGAGCTTGTTCTTTTAGTTGTTGATAGTAGGCAAAGTACGGACTAGGAAGGATCACTGGACCCAAAACATTAACTCTGATTTTCTCTTCACAGATGCTGCCAAACCTGCTGAGCTTTTCCAGCAGCTTCTGTTTTTGTTCCTGAAAGTACAGAATGCACTCAACCAGCCTATATTGACCAGGCACAAAACAAAACACTTAGTGCTAGACATGATTCTGTGATGAGACAGTGCTTGCTGAACAGCACTGACTATGCTAAAAGCCACATCAGCAATTAATTTAAGATGAGCTCACAATGTGCCTTATTTATTCACTAAGCGACATACATTCATATACAGGGGTCTATTCTCTGCAAACAAAAGACACTAAGTGTATTCAAAGCTAAAATAGACAGATTTTTAATCTGTAAGATAATCAAGGGTTATGGAGAAAAGGGAAAAGTAGAGTGGAGGGCTATAAGATTAGCCATGAGCCCATTGAATGACAGAATAGATTCAATGGGCCAAATGGCCTACTTCTGCTACTATATCTTATGGTCTGAATTGTTCAAGCCTTTTTTGAATTACTGGGAGACTTGGGGAGGTACAGACCTCTGTTGCTTTCTTTTTGACAACACCTCAACCATATAGAGTCATTTAGTAGCCTTTTATTCCATTAGTGTAAAGAGTGATTATTCAAAATATGACATTCTTGTACTTTTCCTTTTGAAAAGCATTGGCAACATTTCTCTTTTCAGCAAAAGTACTTCAACCATTGATAACAAGGTGTGGAACTGGATGAACACGGCAGGCCAGGCAGCATCAGAGGAGCAGAAAAGCTGACGTTTCGGGTCTGGACCCT